TACCCTTGATAGCAGTGGTGGGATGCTCTTCTTTGTGATCTGTCGAGTGCCACTGCAAAGGAATAAATCCAGGAATTTCTTGACCTTGAGTAGAGTTTTCATGATGTGCCCCACGTAGGGAGTCCTCATCTGCTGTGATGATGGCTGGATTAATTATCGACATTTTATTTAATGAGCCACTATTCACAATATGTTCACCTCTTTGTTCCTCTTACACCAGGTCGTTTTCTTTCTCTTGTGCAAAGGGCAAAGAAAGGGGACAGCAGACAGAGCCCTCTGCTCTATTCAACACTATCACTGTTTTTTCCCTCATCCATTCATTCACGACATCCTGAGGTTAGGGTTGTGAAACTGATGGAGGACATCCCAGTGATAATGTGCAATGCAGCTGCAGCAACAGACGAGGAAATAGCAGCAATAATGGCAGGCCATTTCAAATGCATTGTAAAGATCCACTTGGAAGAGCTAGAGTGTGACTTGTTACCCATATATAACTGTATGGGTTTGAGCCTTCAGATTAGCTAAACTGATGCAGTATTGTTGGCTAGCCCTGCGATGTTCTCGGTCTCTCTTTCTCGTGTATCTATACAGCTACTGTGATATCTAGGCTACGATTTTCCCATCCTACCTAAGAACTATATTTTGGCTCTCTCTGGGGCTTAACTCCTAATGGGAATAAAGCTGATCCCATTTTGTTTACCCTAAGCCATGTGATTTACTTACCAATCAGTGAGATCCTGCCCTGGGACCCTAATCGTGGTTATGGAATAAGCCTCAGTGTCTGCGTGATCTGAATACTACATAATGGGAGCCAATCCTTAGATTTCTCTTCTGTAACTGTCATTTTTCCCATGTCACAGAATTATCTGGGAGAAGATTGTTCAGGGAGATAGATAGCATAAATGTAACAATTTATTTTGAAATTGGTTTTGCTAGTTTGTAATGCAGTAAAATGAAATCCCTGCTGGTATAATTCGCACAATGCCTTGCTCTCAGTTAAAGAAGATGCTGTTGAACAATGGATGATAGTTCCTGTCAGGAAAATCCACAAGTGGCATCCCCACAGCAGATTTACCTGAAGAGTTACTGCATCACCGTATATTACTAAGCAATCCTGCCAATATTTTCACACGACAACTGATCAAGAAATAGCAACATATTTTCACACACATGTGCACAAAATTGTTGAATTTTTTTTATCATTTTTTTCATTGAAACTTCACTCCACTCTAACTTTCACCCCAAAACTTTGTCATGCCAGTGAAGGAGGAGTGTGAGAACACGAGCAAGACATCAGCCTTAAGTATCAATGCATTTCATAAACAATTAAGGAAAAGAAAACCACACGTTCATCACGAAGCCCCTGTCCAAGATTATACACAGATTTTGCAACAGCACAAAACTATTCATGCAAAGAAAGAGGAAACCAAGAAGAAAAAAATCCCAGTAGAAACAACCAGACAACAAAATTGCAAAACAAGTCAAGATTTTATGCCATTTTGGAACTGTTTTTCTCCCTACTAGGCCCTAGCAAGACTAAGGTTTCCAGAAGCCATGCTGTAGAGAAAGTCTTGCTCCACATCCAAACCTACAACTAGAAAATTAACTGTCATGTTTCTTATTTTGAATATTATTGATCTTTTATGTCTCCATCTGAGGATGTCCATAAGGTGTGAACCTCTTTCACATTTTCTCAGGCAGAAGGTCACATTTGTTTACATAAGAAGCCTCCCCATCTTCATAAAGCTTTTAATACCACTATAAGGAATCCTATTCTTCTAACTCTGCTATATTACCTGTGTGATTGGGGGAATATCTGCCATACCTATGGTGATCAGCGCCTCCTTCATCCATTTATCTCTGTCCAGAAAAGCTCTTAAGCATATGCTTAACTTTAGGTACATGCTTACGTTCCGTTGGCATCAATGTGAAGCAAGAGATGGTAGAAAGAAATCATTCTATTATTTTCTTTTTCCACCAGTCCCAGTGTTTACCACAGAAAGCCATTAGAAATGTAGGCCTTGCATGAACAATGCAAGAAGGAATGAAGAAAGAGAGGTAAGGAAACAGAGGTTAACAATGGACAAAGCATAAGTTCACAAGTGGCCTTGTCAATAATATATAGGTAGTTGATAAAGAAATTGTAAGAAGAGTCACATGTGATAAGCTTGTAGCTGCAGCTTTGCTTACTAGCATACTTTGTAGCTCTTGGACAATTCATGATCTGTACCAGGATCAATTATAAAAATTAGTGCATCAATCATAAAATATATGATATAATGTATTAACAAATAGTATTTAGTGTAAGTATGTCGATAAGCTAATTCATGATTATGTATCTTGGGTTTGTGGTATACCCTGTACCCGCCCTCTACTCTCGAGCTTGATCAACTGAAGTGTAGTTTAACTGTATGCGAATAAAGAAACCTTAGTGATGAGTCCAGAGTTGAATTGATTTCTTTTATTCCATAAAACTGGATAAAGTGTTCTCCCAGAACTGGACACAGTGTTCTGGTTGAGCCAAGTGGAAAAAGTCTTTGGGAATTTCAACAAGAACTCCTATACTGCATTCGTTTCCCCTTCCAGAAACATCTATGTCCTTCCAAGGACACATAAGACAATACAAATGGCCACACTTGGTCAGACCAATGGTCCATTAAGCCCAGCATCCTGTCTTCTGACAGTGGCCAATGTCAGATGCTTCAGAGGGAATGAACAGCACAGGCCAATTATCGAATATCCATCCCCAATTATTGAGTCATCCAGTCCCAGCATCTGGCAGTCAGACATTTATGAACACCCAGAGCATGGGGTTGCATCCCTGACCATCTTGGCTACTAGCCATTGATGGACCGATCTTCCATGAATTTATTCTTTTCTGAACCCACATATACTTCTGGCATTCAGAGCATCTCCTGGCAATGAGTTGCAGAGGTGTAGGGTGACTCGATCGCAAGAATAAAATATCAGGACACATGGGTGGGCATGGGTGGTGGGTGGACTCCCCCCTTCGGGAAGGCTACCCCCATGGCCCTGCCCCTGCCTACACAAGGTCCTGCCTCCCGCGGCAGGAGCCCTGAGCTCCCCTACCTTCTCCGTGGCTGGAACCCCAAACCACCCAACCCCCAGTACCAGAGGAACCCCAGGCCGGCTGGCCCGAGCAGCTCCAGCCCCGTGTCAGGGGTGTACAGCCCCAGCTCCAGCCCCCAGCAGGAGGGGGTGCAGGCTCCAGGTGTGCTTACCTCGGGTGGCTCCCCGGAAATGGCGACATCTCCCTCTGGGTCCTAGGCGGAGGCAAGGCCAAGCAGCTCCATGCGCTACTGTTGCCTCCATCTGCAGGTACCGCCCCCGCAGCTCCCATTGGCCACAGATCCTGGCCAATGGGAGTTACAGAGCCTGTGCTCATGGTGGGGGCAGCATCCAGAGCCCCCCAGGCCTTCCCTCTAACTAGGAGCCAGAGGGAGATGTCGCTGCTTCCAGGGAGCTGCGCAGAGCCAGGTAGGGAGCCTGCCATCCCTGCACCAACCGGATGCCTGGCAACCCTACAATATCGGGACAAATGGCATCCCAATCGTACATTGGTCGGGATGTAGGACAAAGAGTTAAATATCGGGACAGTCCCAAGTTTATCAGGACATCTGGTCACCCTATATAGGTTTGATCATGCGTTGTGTGAAGTAGTACTTCCTTTTGTTGGTTTTAAACTTGCTGCCTTTCATTTCATTGGGTTCTTGTGTTATGCGAAGGGGTAAATAACACTTCCCTATTCACTTTCTCCACACCTTTTTTGATTTTATAGACCTCTGTCATATCCCCCCTGAGTCATCTCTTTTCCAAGCTGAACAGTCCCAGTCTATTTAATCTCTCCTCAAACGGAAGCTGTTTCATACCTCTCATCATTTCTGTTACCCTTCTCTGTGCCTTTTCCCATTCTAATATATCTTTTTTGAGAAGGGGCAACCAAAACTGCAAGCAGTATTCAAGATGTGGGCGTACCATGGCTTTATATAGTGGCATTGTGGCATCCCTTTCCTAATGGTTCCTAACTTTCTTAACACAAAAGAAAAATCCCAAAACTTTAAAATGAAGAATTCCATCAAATATATTTAAAGACTCATTTTAAAAAAATTAAGTTGATTTTACTTAATGTTGCTGTCCCACTACTCATAAGATCCTACCCCATGGTGCACAGGTGCACTGGATGCTGGAGGAAGATATCACAGGGAGTTGCTTTTTACACACCTTAGCACAGTTATTCAGGAAGAGGGCAGGAAACAGTGCTAGAGTTCTACTGAATACTAGAGGAAAGGTCACCACCTAATGTCTCTTCAAGTATCCCAAAGCCCAAGAAGCCTGGTAAGCACAGAACCATTGTGGTCATGCTGCAAATGACAACAAGCACTTGGAAATACAATCTATTCCTATATGCAGTGCACAAGCAGGATGGCATCTCCAACCTTAACTCTGTCACTCCCTCAAAGTACCTCCTTAATGAGTTAAGTCAGGATTTTGATCTGTGCTACCTACTTCACAGCCATGAATGAGTTAAAACCACACACTGATGAATCAAGTATCAAAGCACACATATGCTGCATAAAGGGGCAGAAATTGCACTTCTAATTCTCATATACAGTGTCTGCAAGTGATGATGCACAGAGGTACCTGTAGCCCAAAACAAATTAAATTATGTTGCTTGGTATAGGGTGAATAGGTGTGATGAAATGGAACATGAGAGATATGCACCAAAGAGTCCACGAATCACTTCTTAACTTTAAACGCAGGTAACAAGGCAACCCTTGTCTCCACTTGTCCCTTCTGATCACCAGTGACTGCTGTAGATCTCATTTCTGATTTAACTACCCCAGAAAGCTCTGTTCTGAAATGTTGTTCCAATGCTGAAGATAAGTACTTGGCTACTTATCATAATATCCTGCCAGAATAAGAGAGTAGGTTAAATACAGTCTGCAGTTGGCAAAGTTATTACAATTCATTAGCCTTACTAGTACTTGTGGGATGCTGTCTTTTGCTAAGATGATCACTGTCTTTTCCAGGAGCACCATCAGTTATCAGTGAAATCATGGTTGAATCTTCACCCCGCTTGTCATCGAAAGGTATCGCAATATCATCTGTGTGATGAAGGGTGAATCAACTGTAACTTTTCATTTGCTGAGCCACCACTCCTGCTGTTCTCATTGTTAGAGCTTTCACACTATAGGAAGCCTAGGTCTTTCATTTGTTGGTCCAGTGGAAGGATAAAAGGAGAGGAGACTGGGGTCCTTGTTTAGTTCGTCATTAAATATAATTGATTTTCTAATCTTGGTATCTAATCACTAACACTGGTTGTTCACGGGAGTGTGAATTTGCAGCAGCCCAATGATAATGAGCATGGCAGCTAAGGTGGCAAAGACAACAACTTGCTCACCGAAGCCTGGATTTATGTTCTTGTAGCTGTGGCAACTCTGGATCTGGAACCTACAAAAGTGCTTGAGGCCGTTTGTAATGCTGCCATTATTTTTACGTATTATGAGCTTTGGTCCAGGCAAAGACTACAGTTGTAAGCAGAAAAGAGGAGAATTTCCTCTTGGAAAGACAATTCATGAAATTTGAGAAGAGTGTTGTTCCAACATTAATTCCCATTACCCTGCCATAGTATTTTGATGTCACTGGTAAGCCATGTGGAGAAGCAGGCCCAAAGTCCCACAAGTACAGTACCACCAGCAAATCAAATTTATCCTCTGCTAACACTTCCACTCAACAAACAATTAACTAAACATTTTAACTAAACATCGATGGGTAGGACAATGGCATGATCTCTTGGTATCCTCTACTTGTAAATGGTTAGTGAACGGTTAAATAAAACCTTGTGTCCACAGCCCAGAGGAATGCTCTCTGCTACAGAGGAAGGATGGCTGATCTTGTGGTTAAGTTGCTGAAACAGGACTAAGGAAACCTAGGCTTAATCCACACTTCCTGTGGGATCTTGGGCAAGTCACTTAGTTTTCCTGTATCTCAGTTCCTCTTCTCTAAAATGGAGAACATACAGCACTTCCCAATTTGTGAGGGCAAATTTATTAGTATTTGTGAGACCCGCACGTACTCTGAGGATGTGGGCCATGTAAGTGCTTACAAATATGAAAGCTAATAGGTACTTAACCATCAACATAAAGAGATTAAATAGAAAATCTTCTACCACATGTGCCCTGAAGTCAAAAGAAAAAGAAAACCAAGAAAATGAAACAATTTAATTCTCTTCTATTCACCTACACAAATTTTGCCCTAGGTCACACCTATACAACTCCATGGTTAACCCAGACCCAATTTTGTCTCCTCTAGGGCTTCCCGGATGTAGCTCAGGGCAGAATATGGTTTTTGGTCTATACAGAAAGCCCTTCCCTATCTCCTGGAAAAAGAAAAGCCATAAACGGAAGGCTGACAGCACCAACATTTTTACTGTTTTTGCATATTGTGATATGCTTATCAAATACAGTTTACAACATACGGTTTGCAAAGAAGGGATTCAACTGCATTTGTACTGTAAATCTCTTCTTATGCATGTATTATTTAATATGGACTCCACAAATATGATCATACCGGAGACTATTAGGTAGGTAAGACTATTCCAGCTTGATCTCTAGGTATTGAAATCCTATCTTTCTGCACTTACTTTTCCAGATTCTTCTGGTAAAATACTTAATTATGTTCATCCTTTGCACCTGTGATATTTCTTTGTTATACAAATAATGTTTTGCTAGATTTCATTGAGCCTGATCCTTCTGCCAGTGAAATCAACCATAATATTCCCATTGATTGCAGTAGGCACAACACCAGGCTCTTAGAAAGATCTATCATCACACATACTGTGAAATTATTCCTGGAGGAAGAAAAGCAGAACTTTTTTGGTTTGTGATTGCTTTACACTCTCATGTTATTATGAAATGTCTCTGGAAAGTGAAAAGTTTCTATGATCACAAAGACACACAACTTTTTTCCGTCCAATTCTTTCTCAAGAGCACCAGGAATATGGGGCAGAGATTGTGCTCTCTCTTTTCCATGGCTATAGTGGTTACAAAGCCATTGCAGATTTTGATGCCCTAAGACACACTGTGTCCACCAGTGATGCCCCTTAGCATTCTAAGAATTGAATCACAGTGCAATGTTTTCATACAGTTATTTTAAGAGGACAAGTTAAGCTACAATAGTATATAATCCATTATTCTTACTGGTACTTGTGGAATGATATTCCTTTCTGCCCGACACAGAAGAATAATCTGTTGACAGTGCATCTGGGGTTGTATCTTCATAATATGGGGCACCAGCCGTGTGAATTCTGATGATGGTGGGGTTTGTTGTATCTCCGTTATATGTTGAACCACTACCCACATGATTACCATCTGTAACTGGAGTTGGGTCAGGCTGTTTCACACCATCAGCGTAACGTGAGCCATCTGCATTATCTATGACTGTTGGAAGGAGAAAGAGATCAATTGAAATAGCTGAGGCATCATGAATGTTGGAGTTGTGGGGTGAGGCTAAAGGGCTATGGCCACAGTTGTAGTCAGACCTGATATCAAGCAATTTGTTTTCTGTCTGTCTGTTTTATCCTTCACTGATCTATCTATTGTAGTTCTAATTTGTGTATGCATCAGCATAATGGGCCCAGTCTGGTAAGTGGGCCAAAGTCTGGATTAACTTTCAGGGTGAAATCCTGGTACCATTGAAGTCAAGGATAAAACTCCCATTGACTCCAATGAGGCCAGGATTTCATCCTGAGAGCCCGGTTCCATCCCTAGTTCCTTGCCTGGCTAGCAGGCTTCGGCATGATGTGGAAGGTACATAATAACTGTAGGACATAGAAGGCTTCAACAAAGCTCTCTCATCAAAGAAGCAACATCAGTCCTCTATTTATCAAAAACAATCTAGTGTCAATATGGAAAATTTACTACGCTAGAACCACCTCAAGATAAATGCTGTCACATATAGCCTAATTCTAGGTGGCAGATGGAGGTCTGATTGCTTCACTTTCAGTATATTACCATCTCTGGACTTGCTTTTCTTATGTGTAGCATGATATTGAACATTTGCATTACTCACATACAGAAAAGAAACCTGGTAGCTGAAAATGGAACCAATGCTAAATCATTCACTTATGCAATACATTACCTATTCGGCTTTGATTATCATGCCAAGAATCATTTAGTTTTATGATTGGTTCACATGCCATATCCCTAGTTTCTGAAAGGAGAAGAAAATAATTAGTTAATTTGACAAAAGGTGGTGAGAAAAATTCACTCTTTTCTGCCCTATTTATTAGATTCATAGTGTTATCAACAACTTCTTAGAAAAGTTTCTTGGGGTCTCGTCTGAAAGTGGCTTTGAGAAAACTAAGAATTTTATAAACATTTTTAAAGGGACAAAATTGGTGTATTTTAATCAAATTTCACAAAGTTACTCTCAGTGTTCTCAATTTGAGTCAGATCCTCAACCCAGGACAAGTCCCCATTTTGCCAAAGGGATGGACTGTATGATTCCTCTGCACTGAGGGCATTCCGGGGTAGAGCACTTAGGCAACACTGGAAATCTATTACGGAATACAAAGCTAATCCTGGGCTGGCGGAACAGTCCTTTAGGGATCATTCCAATCAATATAAATTAGAATTCCTCTATGGTCCAGTTTGACTCCCTCCGACAGCTCCAGTATCAGAGCTGGTAGCTCAGAGCCCTTTGCCTCTCTCTACCCCAACCCAGGATTAAGCCCTTTGAGTTCCAGAGAGTGGAATAAAGCTTCAGATATTCTATGTCAAAGCAAATTGTAATTTCAAAATGTCACCTCTATTTAAATCACCGTTGAATTTGGCCTAAGGATTTTTGTGGGGTTGCCTCTATCTATACCAGCTCTGAATATGACCAATTAATTTAACAAAATCTAGGCAACTCAATCAAGCCAGTCTCTTACTCTTAACACATTTCCTGTGCCCAGTTATTGCAGCACAAACACTGAGCAAAATTATCCACGGCTCCCTGACAATTTGACTCTGAAAATTTTAATTTTGCAGGGGTCCTCATGTGGCATAGAAAAATAAACAAAATCAGAAACATTTAAAATTATTATTAAGAACTGTAACTCCATATAATGGAAGAATTCCACAAAAGAAGTGGCCTGCCTTTGAACCTACAATATTAATGTAGCTAAGCAACACCTGAATTTGTGCTTGCCAGGGGCCTCATGCAAGCAGAGAAAGCAAGCTAAGAGTCTTCAGGGTCCCTGATCTTTCAGCGCTTGTAAACTTCACTATTATTAGCTCTAAAAACATGTGAGTAAAAGAATGTGAGGAGTAGAAATCATCACATTCAACAATTCTGTGTTCTTTGGATCCATACTTGTGGTACTTCCCTACTAAAATGACAATTCTTGAGGTTAGAATCATAAGTTAAATATGAACTCAGACATTTTTTTAGTTCAAAATACAATGGGCCAAAGTCACTGATAGCATCAGCAGGTGCAGCTCCAGTGACTGGCAAAATGTGTTCTATCTTCAAATGCGAAAACAAGACCACAATACACATACAATTTAATATGGAAGCTCTGGTTCGAGTAATCTAAAGGAGAGAGAGCATATGTTATTGTTAAATATCTTAATTCTCACTTACACAGTACAGCAAATACCTACCTGATGCATTATAACAATATGTATCATACCGATCTGTTATATTTGAAGTGAGTATGTAAATTCCAGTGTTATTTGCTGCACAAAGAGAATATGGCTTGATTCGTGGGATTACAATTTTGTCTTCTATGTAACCATACCTGTGAAGAATACAGAGTGAACAACACTGTCAGGAAGGAAGGCATGCAGCTGAGCCTGCTAGCTCAGTCTCCAGGCTGACTAATGACCACAACTAAAGCAGACCTGGCTGATTGATCAACCTGCCTGACTAGCTGAGGGGAACCAGCGGGCATGTTCTTAAACCCAGCTACATCAGAAGATCGCTGGCTGCTCAACAGCTTGTGCCCAAAGCTGCAATCGCTCCTGTGCCAGCCTTGTTCCTCCTTGCTCTGGCCCTGCTCCCCTGCTTGTTTCCTGACTCTGGCTTTGACCCTTGGCATGTCCACCACCAGATCTGACCCCCATGTGCGGTGGCGGACAAACACCATGTTATGTGTCACAGCATACAACAGATACTTTCCTCAGGACTTTCAATACCGCCAAATAGGCCAAATAGGAGACAGAGCATTTCATATCATGAAATAAGAATAATCCCAAATCTGGTCATGGAGATTACTCCTTTTTTACATCCACATTAACATCACCAGCAACCACCTCCAAAATCATTCTGCATGTAATCTCTGAACTAATAACCATTGCAATGCAGTGTGAATTATTCGATAAGACAACTGCTCTGCATGGGGATGCAATGAAAATGAAGGATAAAAAGGGTAAACACTTCTCGTTCAGTTGGGTTGTGTATTATAGAACACAGAGGATCAAGGCTCTGATTTTCTTTCATTGAGCTACATTTTCACTACTTCTAGCCTAATAAATTGCACAGTACCATTTTGCACTGGAATTGCATGCCACAAATCTGAAGAATGGATGGAGATCGTGAGCAAAGATGTGCAGCGATGATTGATAACATGCCAGTCTCTGCGAAGTGCAAAACTTTAATAAAGTGTTCAAATGTAGCAATATTTCGCCTACAGAATGTTAGCTAAAATACTTAATATCCCCCTGGATAATATGTGTTGCAAATAATGCTGCTATTTGAGTATGGGGCACATAAATCAGGCTGAAATTTCAAGTGAGCTTGTGATTAACAAAATTATGTAACAAGTTATTACGATTTTGCAATCTCATATCAAATGACTAATTCCTGTGAAGGTACTGGTTTCCCTGAAATCTATTTAGATGAGAGTGGTGATTAAATGTTAAAAAGCCCTAGGGTTTGGGGATTGTTTTAAGAGCTGCTACTTGTCAGGGAGGGGCAGGCGTGGTATGTTAGCTGCTTGGACTCTGTCTCAGTTGTGGTTCCCCAAGCCCTGTTACAGTCCACATCCATGATTCACGTCCATCCACCTGGATCAAATCATGGCAATGATATTTGCAATTCTAAATCTCTAATATGGGTGGAACAATAGATTACTTCACTGGCACAGCCATATTTTTTATTAGTCCTAGATCCGGTATCCTATTGCTAAGACTATCATATTGGCGGCGTTATAATAAAAATCTTTCTTGTTTTATGGCCTGCTGACTCATTCATATTCACTCTCTACTCCTGGTGTGCTTTGACTATTATATATAACGTACTAGTTCTTTTTGTCTCCCACTCAAGCCCATACAGTTGGATTTATGGTACTGTGCCAGAGGAATACAAATACACAGCACCCACAAATTATTAAAAAATATCTCAAATTCCATATCTGTCCTCTTCTAGGTTCATGGATAAGGGGAGAAAGTGCAGTGAAAGCAAAACCACAGCTCTCCTCCAATGTGAAAAATAGTTCCCTCTATTTCTTTTACCCTTTAAGTTCTTTTCCATTTTCTTCTCATCTTACCTATAAGAGACTCTGTCCAGTGCATGAGACTCAAAAGTTAGAGATAGAAAATGCCTATTTGGTCTTTCAATACTTTCCCCACCACTGCAGGACTGTCCCAGTCTAGTCTTCCATTTGGCAGCATTTTAAATCATCCCTCCACTTCACTTGGGAGACTGTTATGTAACGCTCACCATCGGGAATTTTTGCCTGATATTCCCTGGGAATATGGCGAGCATCATTCTCCCACTGCAGAGGCACACATATTATTCTGATTTATACCAGTGAATGAGCACAGGGCACAGTCCTGGTGTAAGGGCAACTAGGGCTGCAGGAGATCTTTAAAGATTATCTGCCCACGCATTTGCAATTAATATTAGCAGTGCGTGACATTTATACAGCATCACACTAAACATTTTCAAAGCACTGCACAAACATGAACTAATTTAATTACTTTGATACTAATTAAACTAATCACTTTCCATAGATATGATTTTGCCGATAGTACACTAACATGAAAGCAATTTTACCGATTTCTCATGAATTTGCAGACTAATGCAAAGGGAAGGAAATTAAAACAGTTAAAAGACTGAGAAAAACAAGTTTCAGAGTAGCAGCCGAGTTAGTCTGTATCCGCAAAAAGAAAAGGAGGACTTGTGGCACCTTAGAGACTAACAAATTTATTTGAGCATAAGCTTTCGTGAGCTACAGCTCACTTCATCGGATGCATACAGTGGAAAATACAGTGAGGAGATTTATATACACAGAGAACATGAAACAATGGGTGTTACCATACAGACTGTGACAAGAGTGATCAGAAAAGGTGAGCTATTACCAGCAGGAGAGGGGGGGCAGGGTGACTTTTGTAGTGATAATCAATGTGGGCCATTTCCAGTAGTTGACAAGAACCGGGGGGGGGGGGGGAATAAACAGGGAGAAATAGTTTTACTTTGTGTAATGACACATCCACTCCCAGTCTTTATTGAAGCCTAAGTTAATTATATCCAGTTTGCAAATTAGTTCCAATTCAGCAGTCTCTCACTGGAGTCTGTTTTTGAAGATTTTTGTTGAAGAATTGCCACTTTTAGGTCTGTAATCGAGTGACCAAAGAGATTGAAGTGTTCTCTGACTGGTTTTTGAAAAACAAAACAGCCTTGAGTCAAATTTACAACAGACAATTCCACCTTCGCATATAATAACTTTAAACAGTGTCATTTGGTTTAATTTTTCTGGTGGTAAATATTAGGACTCTCTTTAGAGGACTGATAAAAAGTACAAGCTGGCAAAATTTAAAGAGTTGAAGAGATGCCCACCGAGCTTTCTACCCCAATAAACTTCAGGATGAATCCTGAAATCCCTACTCACTTCCTACTAAAGCTGAAATCCCACTGAAGTTAGTTGATCCATTTGACTTAAATAAGATTTTTATTGCTATGAGTCTATACTGCTTGACAATGAATCCCCTCTGCGCCTGCTGCACTTGAATCTTGTCTCCTTTCTACAGCTGCATGTTTGGGATAACCTGGATAATTCATAGAGTCATAGATTATATGGCCAGGAAGAACAACTGTGTTCAGCTAGTCAGTCCTCCTGCATAACACAGACCATACATAGGACTTCCCTGAATTAATTCCTGTTTGAACTAGAGCATATCTTTTAGAAAAGCATCCAAACTTGATTTTTAAATTTCCAGTGACGGAGAATCCACCACAACTGTTGATCCATTGTCCCAATGGTTAATTACCTTCAGTGTTAAAACCTTGTATCTTATTTCCCATCTGAATTTGTCTAGATTCAACATCCAGCCATTTCCTATTGTTATATCTTTGTCTGCTAGACTGAAGAGTCCTGTATTATCAAATATTTGTTCCCCATGTAGGTACTTATAGACTAATCAATTCACCCCTTATCCTTCTCACAATAAGCTAAATAGATCGAGTTCCTAGTGTCTATCACTATAAGGCATGTTTTCCAATCCTTTAATCATTCATGCAATTTTTCACTGAACACTCTCCAATTCTTCAACATCCTTCTTGAATTGTCCACATCAGAACTGGACAGTGTATTCTAGTTGCAGTCACACCAGTGTCAAATACAGAGGTAATATAATCTATTACTCAATATCTCACCCCTTTATATGTTCAAGGATCACATTAGCCCTTTTCACCACAGTGCCACACTTGGAGATCATGTTCAACTGATTATCCACTATGATCCACTGCTTCCCAAAACAGAGTTCCCCATCCTATAAGTATGGCCTGCTTTCTTTATTTCTAGATGTAGGACTTTACATTTGGCTGTATTGAAACACGTATTGTTTGCTTGCACCCAGCTTACGAAGTAATCCATATCACTCTGAATCAATGACTTGCCCACTTCATTATTTACTACTTCCCAAATCCTTGTGTCATCTGCAAATTTTATCAATAATGATTTTATGTTTTCTTCCAGGACATTGAAAAAATTTAATTAGTGTAGGGCCAAGAGCCAGTCCCTGCAGGATCCCACTAGAAATACACCTGCTTGATTATGATACTTCATTTACAACTACAATTCAGTTATCCTTTTCTACTCATAGACCATCTAATTAATAGCCACTTAAAAGTAATTGCAGTTGGCACACCACATCGTCACAGATGGACAGACAGATAGCTATACATATTCACTATATATTATCTTCTTTAGAGTTTCCTTACCTGCAAGTTTCAAATCCTAATTCATGAGCTTTCTTCATCTGGTCCATTGTTGGCAGGGTACTATTGAGAGCTCTGCAGAGTTCAACTGCCTCACTTCGTGTGAGATTGTAGCGACGATTTTTCTCAACATGGAAAACCCCTGCATATCTGCAACTTATATTAAATTCTGTTGATTGAAAAAAAACCAGAAATTATTACAATGATAATACATGCTGTTTCACTGAAACACTAGCAAGATTTCATTTCCAAGTACAATGAAGTTACAGAGAACCATCAACATCCGCCAGTTCATTAGGGGAGAAGGCTTGCACAATAAATCTGGTTTTCCAAACTACACTCAGATCCTTTTTGCTCAAACATCACATTAATGTCCAAGAACAGTAGCATAGTGTTTCTGTGAAGTGCCTAGCACTTTTGGGAACATGCAAAAAAACCCCATCATCAACAACAACAACAATTTGGTGCAGAAGATCTAATGGGACAAGATTGCCAAGATATTTTAGAAACACATCTGTCTGGAAAAGTTTTGGCTTCACTGTAAACATTTGTCAATGAAATTTTCCAAACTGCTGTAGTTAGCAACTAACCTGTTAATAAATATGTACCACATTCAAAACTGCAGTCTTGCAGATTTCCCTAGTTTTTATACAATGTGTGCCAGATTCACATAAATAAGTGGTGCTCCACTGACATTGGTATAAAGTATATAGAAAGTACACTGTTTGAGTCTTTGCAGCCATAGTCCTATATCTAAGGAAACAGTGTCCAACCATCCAGGTCCATCTAAGTACCTCATTCATAAAGGGAATAAACAAGAAAAGGTGAAAATGGTTATAATTTAACCATTTCTGAAATATACAGTCCCTGTATTAAATGACCTCATTCTGTTTGTTTCAGGGTTTAACATTTTTCATGAAAACATACATCAAAGCAGAACTAACATCTGAAACTATTTTAGCATCAGCACAAGGAATAGGTTCCTTTTGGCATCTATTAGGTCAGGGCAGACTAGTTAGACTAGTTTGATATCATATGCCACAGCTGATGTAGACAGCAAGTAAGCAGTGTGCAACAGTATTTCTAACTATAAAAGTGCTGAGCTGCTAAATATACCCTGGCAGGCAAGCTCTAAGGAACCATACAGCCAGCTAGGAATGGTTGGAATACACCTAACTCACTTTCATTTGGAAGCACATTATGGACATTGGTTTCAGAGATATGGTCAACATCTCTGTGGTTTTCTACTGTGAACCACTATATCAATGTCAGCATACAACACAACAATGTAACTAATATTGTAAAGAATGCTGGATGTTAAAAATTTAATAATATCATAAACCGCTTTGCCCATGAAAAGCACTATATTTCGCTAGAACTAAGTAATTTTATCAACAACAATTATGTATTATTGAAAAATCTAGGTGCCACTGTTATGTGACAACTCAAATGGGCCAAAGTCAGGAGTGAGTTCTGGTGCAATGTAAGTCTTCTTCCAGATTCTCAGCACTTAAGTTATATCAACCTAGTCTGAAGGGAGGGTCATTTAGGGCTTGTCTAGACAGGAAAAAGGCTGCAATAGCCAGTGTAAGCCTAGCGACTCCTTACTAGCTCCCCATGTGGACCCTCTCACTGCTCACTAAGAGTACCGTTGTGCAGTTTAGTTAATGAACTTTGGCGATGTGTTAAGCTCAAAAGCACTCCTAGGCTATGTCTACACTTGGAGCTGGGGTATGATTCCCAGAGCATGTATACATATCGCACTAGCTCTCATCAAGTTAACATGCTAAAAATAGTAGTGTGGTTACAGTGTCTCTTGCAGGGGTAGCGTTGGCATAGGCTAGCTGCCCTGAATACGTATCCAGGTGGTCCAGGCGGGTTTCTATTCAGGGAGGCTAGCCAGCACCACCACTTATCATTGCCCATGCCACTGTGACTACGCTACTATTTTTAGCGCACTGTCTCAGCTGGAGCTAGAGTGAGTGTGTCTACATGATCTGGGAATCACAACCCTAGCTCCAAGTATAGACATCCCTTTAATGCACAGCGAGAGTGTCCACACGGGGACTTAGTGTGGAGTAGCTAGTGCACTTAAAAGTCACAATTTAGCGTGCTGCACGCTAACTTTCTCATGTAGGCAAACCCTTAGACTCACCTCTGAATTTGATCTAAATGTCTGAAAGCCTAATGGCACAACAAACAACAAAAATAAAAAAATTCAAACAAACATAAATCTCTCCTGTGGGCACTCAGTCTCCCCTACTGTTGACTTCCCACTGGCTTCAGAGGTACTGTAGGACTTTTGAAAATGAGGACACTTATTTAGGTCCCTAAATATGGATGTAAGACCCTAACTTTAGGTATCCGTTTCTAAAAGCCTCGATCATTCCTCTGGCCTGGGACCACTGAACAAGTAGCACATTCAGCTCCTAAGGGAGGAAAGTGCCTCAAATTGTGCTGTAGAGGCTGCATGAGATGGCGAAAGGCGTAAAACTAGAGCGGCTCTAAAGAGAACACCTCTCCCTTCCTCTTCGGCCTGGCAAGTTAGAGCCTTCGCGGTATGGATGGTAAAGCGCGGAAAAGATTGTATGATCCGAAGAATGCCCACAGACAACAACAAAAGGAGCGAGGGGAAGAAGAAAGCAAACATACACAATGAACTGCTTTTTTGACAGCGTGGAAAAAAATAACAGCTCTGGAAGGTGGGGAAAGACTCGATATACTTCAAAGCAAAAAATAATTAACTCAGCTCCGACCCCACCCTTCCTTCAAGAGGAAACTTGACTGCAGCCCCAGACTAAAATGACAATCCCAGATCATGCAAAAACTCAGTTTATTCTTCCCAGTGAAGTGCAGGGCATGATTCATATTAACATTAGTGGGAGTTCCAACATGCATAGGGAGAAAACAGATCCAATCTCCTGCACACATTGCAATGTTGTTTCTCTCTGGTGCCTACAAAACTAAAAGGTACCACATAATAATCTCTCCCCTATGAGCTCCAGAATGCAAGCCCTAAACATTTGTATAGACACCTCTTCTGGATATATTGGCAATCACTCTCCTTTAACTCCTGTCTTTTGCCATGAGCTAGACAGCCGATGTTATTCTATAAACACACACATCAAAATAAATGATAGTAATCAAAGGGTACTGCATAATCACCACTGTTGTAAACCACATGGAATATTTCTTCCCATATGGAAGTTGGAAACAAATAAGCAAATGGAACAGTAAATCAGACTCAGACTGTATGTATGTAAAAGGATTTTTATTATTTATACAAGAGTAACTGCACCATAAAGGTACGTGACACTGACAATGTCCCTGACCTGAAGAGTTTAGAATCTATGGGCTCAATCCTGCAGACACTTACTACCAAGGCAGCGGGACTAAATTATGGTAGCAGACATTGCACCAGGTAGTACATGTTTCATCTCATGTATAAATTTAGGACCAAATCCTGGAGATAGGAGGGGGTGGAGAAAGGGAGGATGTGGTTTTTAACAAGAAGGCATTGTGGTTTCTTCAGTTAGACCTGAAGCAGGAAGGGGTGACTGGAGGAATGGCAGACTAGTCAGGAAAAAGCTGATTTCAGGGGCCTACCCAGAAAGAGGCACAACGATCAGAGTGGGAGAAGCAAACAAAGATGGTGGTTTGCTATTCAGCTTGGCTAGAGCAGAAGGACTTGAAAGGAGATGAGATCAGAGCAAAATGGCAGCTAGAGCTGTGTGGAGAACTGCAATTCCATTTGGTGAAGGATTTTGAGATTTTGATACCTGTCTTGGTTCCAATTCCCCCCAACAGAAAATTCCGAAAAAAATGTATTTCAGTTCAATCTCAGTATTTTATTTCAATTCTCCCTTTTTTAATTTTTATATTATATGTGATTCAAAGTTGTAAACATTCAAAACCAAAAGTTGTTTGAAAACAAAAATTCAAAAAATTTTTACTGAAAACATCAAAACAAGAGATTTCGACACTGTCGGAACATTTTGATCAGTTTTTCTCATAAATGAAATAATGACAAAAATAGACATGATTTTGCATTATTTCAACTTTGACAGACTGCATTCTCTGACAGAAAATGATTCCATGTAAGTTTTTGTAACCAGCTTTAATGGTAGCCATGATGTGTGGGCCTTTGATGGCAAGAATGAGCGCTTGTATATGATGCAGACTGGGAGAAGAAGCAAAGACGTTTTCCCAGTATGGCTCAAGGCACCTGAATTGTGCTGGGAGGGGAGAAGCTGGGGGGCTGCCTTAGAAGTGGCAGTCAGAGGCATTACTCCTACAGAGTGCAGAAACAGGCATAAAGCCTCCCCAGGTGCTCTGCAGCGCTGATTCCTGAGGCCAGCTGAAAACAAGAGATGTGGCCATAGCCATTCACTCCACTCAGATGAAAAATGCCTCTTTCAGCGTGATCAGGGGAAATGGCATTGCTTGCCACTCTACCCCTTGAGCTCTTAGGATGTAGGCGTAACACAAAGTGTGTGTTACATCTCCCTTTAGTGACTGGCCCACATAGAGGGCAACAGCCTACGATTGCAATCAGCTCATGGAGCTTTGGATCTGAGGGCTCCTGATTCAAAACTTGATAAAGCATTTGGGGAGTTGTCGCACAAGCTGCCGAATTATAGTTGTTTCCTCCACAAATGAGCTAGCTAAATCTGTGAATAATACACATTCCATCAACTCTAAGATTCATTAATAAATTGGGCTATTATATCCTACAGAACTATTAGGGAGATTAAGAACAACAAACCTGGAGATTTTGGAACTAGTTATTAATTTTGGATTCATTTCTGGGGCTATAGGAAACTTTCACTAAGAAATCAGAAATCACATAAAACTTGCCTGGTTTTGGGTTGTGCTACAAACCTGAAACTCAGCTTAGCCTCACGGAAATGTTGGGTAAAGTCACAGCTCTTTGGTGTGAACCTTGGCCCAGATGTGAGCAAATCTGGGCTAATTTATTGTTTCAGATCATTATTATTTACATTATAGTAGCACCCAGAAGCCCCCGTTACGTTTGGAACCTCATTTTGCTAAACACTCTACTCATTTCATTCCGATTGGAAACCCTTTGACCCTGATCCTGCAAACAACTACCCAGTTCAACTTAGCGGGACTATTCACATGCCTAAAGTTACTCATGTGTGTATTTGC